TACTTGTTGTTCCTAGAGTATTTAAAAGTAGAATGGGAGGCAGAGCCTTCAGTTTTCAGGCCCCTCTTCTGTGGAATCAGCTTCCAGTTTGGATTCAGGAGACAGACACTATCTCTACTTTTAAGATTAAGGTTAAAACATTCCTTTTTGGTAAAGCAAAAGGACTGGACCAGGTGACCCTGAATCCTCCCTTAGTTATGCTGCAATAGACGTAGGCTGCTGGGGGACTCCCCATGATGCATTGAGTTTTTCCTTTCCAGTCTCCTTTCTCACTCACTATGTGTTAATAGACCTCTGCATTGAATGAAACTTGTTATTAACCTCTGTCTCTCTTCCACAGCATGTCTTCTATCCTGTCTTCCTTCTCTCACCCCTACCGGTCGCAGCAGATGGCCCCGCCCTTCCCTGAGCCTGGTTCTGCCGGAGGTTTCTTCCTGTTAAAAGGGAGTTTTTCAATCCCCCTGTCGCCAAAGTGCTGCTCATAGGGGGTCATTTGATTGTTTGGTTTCCTCTGTATGTATTATCGTAGGGTCTACCTTACAATATAAAGCGCCTTGAGGCGACTGTTGTTGTAATTTGGCGCTATATAAATAAAATTGAATTAAATTGAGTATAAGGTGCAATGTTCATAATGCACGATACGAGGTATCACACACTTAAGAAGAATGTGATTAACGATTTTAAATGCCTTTGCTATTAGTTTTTGGCATTGTCCATTAAAATCTGAGTGTTTCTTAGTTTTAAACTACTTTTAAACTTTTTCCCCACTTGTTTATTCTACTAAGAAATTAGTAGAATAAAAAAAGAAATTCCTAGTTGCTACATCTCTCTGTGATGGGTCAGCTTTTCTATCTGAAATGTGGCTGTTTGGAGCAATTCCCAAAGTGTTTGCTCTACTTCCTCACCTCCCTGAAGCTTAGTTTGCCATCAAAGTCTTCATCCACTTCTTTGATCATGTTTTTCAGGCCCAGGTGAGTCTGTGGAGCTCCCAGCTTCTCCATCATCAGCTTTAGCTCCATCAGGTCGATGAAGCCGTCTTTCCCAGTGTCATACCTACAAACCACGAAACCCACACAATGTCAGATTCAGTCAGCTGGGAGTATGAAGACACCACATTTAATTCACACAGTCATTATGTTTCCATATGTAAAAATGTTCAATGCAACTAGTAACAGCGCTGGTGAATAAAAGCAGTAGTATATTAGGGATGCACCAACCACAGATTTTATAAAGCTGTGAATATATTGTTTGATCTCTTTAATCCAGTGTTTACTTTGTTATGTGACAGCAGTCTCATTCTCATTGTAAAGAATACAGCTTAAAAATTGTTTAAAAATAAACATTTAACAAGCTACTGTAATGGTACTTATAAAACACCTGCCTATAATTTCTTCATCTATGCTCAATCCCCCAGGTAAGGAAATCCCAAAAAGTTGATTCCGTTGATTCTACGCTACATCCAGATGAACAAAATCAACTTTTTGGGGCCTACCTATATACTTACCTCTAAATAGCACTTTTCCAGCCTTATTGACCACAAGTCACATTTTTACCACAGAATCACAAGTGCATGTCTTCAGAGTTTGAGAGGTAGCCGGTGTTCTCCAGATGCTGCTCTGCTCATGCAGTGCATCATCTGGAGAAGCTCTGTTTGGGATTGAAGCCATCTGATCCAAGACAATATCAACAGTTAATTATTCTAAAAATTCCTCCATTCTACCACTGGTGCTGCAAGCTAAAGTGCAAGCTTGAAGGATAAGAAGGAGCAATGTTCTTACACCTTCTCAAAAGCGTATCCTTACATTGGCATCTGTGTAAATCTGTAGAAAAATCTGCATCTGTAAAATGTATGAGACAAACTTCTTAATATGAATTATATAAAATTTCAGGTTTCTACTGTTATCACTTTTCTTGAATGACAGTGTGTAAAATCTCACTGTTAGACATCAGTAGATTACAGTTAACTGAGTTCTGTTATCTTACCCTTCCTAATTCAAGTGTATAAACCAAGCTGCAGTGGCTGCTATAGGACAAGTGTGTTTTAGTCAAGAGAGACCAGTAATATTAAATTATTTGAATTAATATCAATGCAATAAATCCAGATAAAACTAATATGTGCCAGTTAAATATTTTTGCGTTATTTTAGGTTATATGAGTCACCTCAAAAACTCTGGCTGCTGTTCATCTGCAGTGAGTGTAGCCTGTTTACTTTAGCTATCAATATGCCAGGTATCCAGGATTTTTTTTTAACTCTGGAAGAAGCTGTAAAACTTTATGACAGGAGTCCCATAAGAATCGATGAATCAGTGAAGATTACTTCTGTCTGATGAAAGTGATAGTGATGGTGGGTTGCTGAGGATATCTTGAATTTTTCTGTCTGTAAGTGCTGCTATTTTTGCTGCTGTTGGCCAGCATTAATGGAACTTTCTTTGAAGTGCATCGAACATTGATAGACTAACACTCACACAGTATGACAATGTAATCAAACTGTTTGTCAGAGAAAAAGTGTGACTTTTAGGACACTTTACCTTAACATCAGCTGCATAAGCTGCTAGCTTATACAAGCTGTTGTTGAAAATTGAAAATTAATCTTCATGTATTTTTGGGACACTGCAACAGTTTCTGCTTGTGAGCATTGGTTGCACAATTGCAAGCCTCTGGAGGATCCTACACCTTGAGGTTCATGGGACTCCAAAAGGCACTAGCAGCTTCAAATTAGAAGTTTGCTGCTTTGTAATGACATTTTAACAGCTGCTCTCTTAATCTGATGAATTTGTCTGGCAAAACCCTTCCTCATTATGCCTTCATCTATGCAAACTCATCTGTGCTCTGAATCAGCCACAAATTTCTTCACAGTAAGATGATCATGCTTACATTTTTGTGAAATATCTCATGTTTTCATACCTTCTCCAAGGCCTTGCACTATTTGACACTTTTCTGGAACAGACAGGTTCTTTATCTTTCCCATATTTTTTTAAACCTGTGGCATGCTTAATAACGTGAAACATCTTAACAGCTTAATAATGTGATTTTTTCCTTTAATTGGGCTCACATGACAAACTAATTATGACAGGTGTCTGAGATTGATATCAGTGATTCAAGGAGCCCTGTGTGTATACACAATATGAGTTTAACTGAAAACAAAAAATGTAAAATTTATATAAAGTTTATAACACTGAAATCCTATTTGCATAATAATTTGGTAAACTGGTAAATGGTAAATGGCCTGTATTTGTATAGCACTTTACTTAGCCCCTAAGGACCCCAAATTATTTGAGGGGTGGATCCGCTGTCCACCCGCCGTGTGATGACCCTCCTCCGGGATCCCCCCACCCAAGGAAATTACACCACTTTCAAGGCACTGCTACTGCAGTGCTACTTCCTCTCCGATGCAGAGGGCTGAGAAACTCCTCTCTCTCTCTGGCCTGGGTGATGGTGCTTCTCTCGAGCTCATGGAGAGCATTCTGTCCTTGCTAGAAACGGATGATGGCGGATTCCTCTTCACTCACCTCTTCCTCTGACAGTTGCCAGCTCCCCGCTGCTGGCCACGAAGGATTACTGCTCACTTGCAGAAGAAGGGGATCACATTCTCCAGGCTAATAGGAGCTTTGGCATCCAGGCGATAGTCCCCAACTCACCGACGGCATCTCCGTGCCCCCACAGATTCTCCTGGGGACCCCCGACTCATCGATGGTGGCTGGGATCGAGGCATGGCGGCACCACGGAAAAGGGCTGTATTTTTACCAGCGTTTTGGTGCTGCAGTACAGCGCTGTCTGCCACCTTGCAGTTTTAATGCCCAGGGAAACAAAGGAATAAGGAAAGGCTGCCCGACTCACAATAGGGAGATGTTTTCTGGTCGACTCCGGCTCCCAGAAGAGCCTCGGGAACTCTCGTGTCGTCTTTGCATACCTTTTTGTATGTTATTTAATTTAAAAAAATAAAACAAATTAAGATTCCCCGCGTACCACTACAGGTAGCCCAAGTACAACGAGCGGTGCACGTACCAGAGTTTGAGAACCACTGGCCTAGGCTATAAGAATATTGCCAACACCACAGTGGCCAAGAACTTGCCATGGTTGACCAAAGAAGTTGAGTGCACGTGCTCAACGTCATATCCAGAGGTAGTCTTTTGAAAATAGATGTATGAGTGCTGCCAGCATTGCTGCAGAGGTTGAAGGCATGGAGGGTCAGCCTGTCAGTGCTCAGACCATACGCCGCACACTGCATCAAAGGGCTGTCATCCCAGAAGGAAGCCTCTTCTAAAGATAACGCACAAGAAAGCCCGCGAACAGTTTGCTTAAGACAAGCAGACTAAGGACATGGATTACCTGTGTTCTGATGAGACCAAGACAAACGTATTTGGTTCAGATGGTGTCAAGGATGTGTGGCGGCAACCAGGTGAGGAGTACAAAGACAAGTGTGTCTTGCCTACAGTCAAGCATAGTGGTGGGATGTCATTGTTTGGGGCTGCATGAGTGCTGCCGGCACTTGGGAACTACAGTTAATTGAGGGAACCATGAATGCCAACATGTACTGTGACATACTGAAGCAGAGCATGATCCCCTCCCTTCAGAAACTGAGCCACAGGGCATTATTCCAATATGATAACAACCCCAAACACACCTTCAAAAAGACCAGTTCCTTACTAAATAAACTTAGGGTAAAGGTACTTGACTGGCCAAGCATGTCTCCAGACTTAAACCCTACTGAGCATCTGTGCGGTATCCTCAAATGGAAGGTGGAGGAGTGCAAGGTCTCTAACCATCCACCAGCTCCATCATGTCAACATGGAGGAGTGAAAGAGGATTCCAGTGGCAACCTGTGAAGCTCTAGTGAACTCCATGCCCAACAGAGTTAAGGCGGTGTTAGAAAATATTGGTGAACACACAAAATATTGATACTTTGGGCACAGTTTGGACATTTTCATTTAGGGGTGTACTCACTTTTGTTGCCAGCGGTTTAGACATTAATAGCTGTATGTAGGGCTGCACGATTTTGCATAAAATGAGAATCACGATTTTTTTGCTTAGAATTGAGATCACGATTCTCTCACGATTTTCTTTTCCAGTATAAATATTTATTGCGCTTATTAACTGCACATCAACTTCGTAACAGTTGAGACTGAACATAAAAACAATAAGTAAACATAAAAACAACAAATGTCTCACGTTTTGTCGTTGCCGCAAAATGTTGTACTGCTTGAAATTCCGTCTCCACCGTTGCTCGACACTGCGTGTATAGAGCAGGTAGTGCAACAATAGAAAAATAGTTGCGGGACGGCACTGTGTAGCGTTTGTCTAGGGTGTTGATCATTTTCCTAAATCCCTCGTTTTGCACAGTGTTGATGGAGCCATATCTTTGGTCAGGTGATAAGCAATAGCCTCCGTAATTTCTTTGTGCCTGCGGGAGTTCGACGGGTATAGGGAAGCGCTGTATAAGGTTCCCGTTATTGATGTTTGGGTGGTTGACCGGGACGGATTTTCTCCTGTCACTTTCTCGTCATCCCTGACGTGCTCTCCGTTGTTTTTTCCCTGCCAATTTTAGCAGCCAGCTTCTGTATCACGTGGTATAAGGCTCCGCCCTTGTCATTTGTTGAGCAGGAAGAGTGAGCGCTTGTTTTCATGCAGATTACGTCCCGGATCAAAATGCGATACAATCGTCGTCGTCTTTTTTTTTTTTCTTTTTTTTTTAAATCGTTGTCATTTGGAAATCGCACATAAGTATGAATTGAGATCGCGGTTTTCTAACGATTAATCGTGCAGCCCTAGCTGTATGTTGAGTTATTTTAAGGTGATATCAAATTTACACTGTTATACAAGCTGTACACTGACTACTTTACATTGTATCAAAGTGTCATATATTCAATGTTGTCCCATGAAAAGATATAGTAAAATATTTACAAAAATGTGAGGGGTGTACTCACTTTTGTGAGATACTGTAGGTTCTTGCTCTCACCATAGCAATGATGCTGGCAGTTCAAAACTTGGAGTATCCCTTACACTTGTATGGAGGAAGAAAAATCACATGAATAACAGCCATACACCGCTCCACTGTGGCGCGCAGAAAACATCTCAGGTGGGATCTGCTTGTCATGCCAATAATGTTGGAAACCACCAGGTTTATCAATGTTAAATTATATCCCCATTAGAGAAAACATATCTGGTCGGGTGCTTCGGGAGTGTGCTGACCAGCTTGCAGGCATCTTCATGGACATCCTAAATACATCACTGGGCTCAGCTGTGGCACCTGCATGCCTTAAAACCACGAAAATCTTCCCAGTGCCAAAGAAGTCCACTGTGTCCTGCCTCAATGACTACCGGCCGATGGCACTTACGCCCATCATCACAAAGTGCTTTGAGAGCCTGGTATTGAGGCACATGAAAACTCAGCTTCCACCGAATCTGTACCCGCTACAGTTTGCTTACCGCCCAAACCGCTCTTCACCTTTCTCTCTCCCATCTCGACAAAAAGGACACTTATGTCAGAATGCTGTTTATTGACTTCAGCTCAGCATTCAACACAGTCATTCCCCAGAAGCAGTGTTGGGATTGTTGGGATTTATTACTATTACTGAAGGATACTCGCCGTACCAATACCAGCTAGATTAAATCTTAATATAAAATGAGTAACAGTAGGTGGACATTAGGTAAGGCTTTTTGCAGTGATCTCGTACAGAAAACTATTCCACACGTATATAAAACAGGTCCGCAGCTCCGAACCGTAGTAAAGGGACCTCTGGCTAATACGTTGGGTTAGTGTCGGGCTCGTAGCTGAAAACTAGCTTTACTTTGTTGTCTGGCTCAACTTTGCTAGCGAGAGACAGAGAGAGGCGTTGAAAGGCTGCTCCAACAGAACTTATTGTTTCAGAGGAAAACACGAACACAGTGTACAGTCGAGTCTTAATAGCTTACTTACAACTGGGCTCGTCAGGCACTCTTTTTGGCTGCAGTGGTTATTATTATATTTACATGCTTCCCTCTCCTGTTTCTGGTCAGTGACAACTTGTACTCATTTCGACTCTCCTTTTTCTCCCTCCCTCGTGCTCACAGACACATAACAGGTATGGCAGTCCATTCTCTCTGCAGCACGGACTACACTGCCCACGAAGCTACATTTTTAGGGCTATGCCTGTAACACTCTGCCTATTGCCTTCATATTAAATAATTTTTCAAATAATTTTTAAAAATATTTCTTCACGTCATTTATTTGGGCTGCAGTAGAGGTGACATGGGCCGCGAGATTGAGACACAGGCATTAGAGCCTCTTAATGCGTGTTTTGTTTGGGTTTCCATCGGCGGGGAATTACCAAAAATAGAGAGAGCACAGCCTAACATATGAAACAGGAAAGACCGCTGTGTAATCCATTTATTTCAACAAAGTAACTGTATTCTGAATACTACCTTTTTAAACTGTAACTGTACCAGAATACAGTTACTCATATTTTCTATTTTAAATACGTAACACTGGTACATGTATTCCGTTACTCCCCAACATTGCCCAGAAGCTGGTAAAGAAGTTGGACCTACTAGGAATAAACACCACTCTCTGCAATTGGATCTTGGACTTCCTAACTGACAGGCCACTGAAGAAGGCCAGTCTCCCTGATCTCACATCATTTTACCAGGAAACCATTGAGAAACCATCTGCTGCTACATCACTATCACTATCTACAGGAACTGCACCCTCACTGAAAAGCAGTCTCTGCAGCGGATAGATAGGACAGCAGAGAGGATCACTGGAGGCCCTCTCCCACCCACCTCCCAACTCTACGACAAACACATCATCCGACGTGCGAACAGCATAGAAAGGGACACTTTCCACCCCCTCACATGTTCTCCCTCCTTCCATCTGAAAGACAGTTTCGCAGCATTTAAACCGTAACGACCAGACACTGCAAGAGCATCTTCCCACAAGCAGTCAGAGCCCTCAACTCACTACCACCAAAGGACTGATATACACATACACCTTTTCAAAAACCTTAAAATACTCACCAAAAGACTCACAAATCCACTACAAATTGGACCTGGGAACAATATGCTTATTTGCACACTCAGTCACATAGTTACTGAACACACATCTAAATTATACTATATTTGCACATTTTTGCATTGTCTATGCATTGTCTACAATATCCTGAAAATAACTTGAACCTGGTATTCAATACTTATTGCACAATAACTCAACCTGGTATTCAATACCTACTGTACAATCCACTTTGTTTATTGTCCAGTAAGTACTGTATAGTTATCACGGTCAGATTTTGCCGATTCCTTTCTTCTTTAAATGTGAAGTGGTGTCGGAATTTTAAAGTAAGAAATGCATTCCTGCCCGTGCACTGATGGCTCTGTTGTGCTGGCTCTGGGTCCATTGTGTAACTGATACCACCAACATTAACAGAACGCTTACATTAGAGCCTCTTATTGCGTGTTTTGTTTGGGTTTTCAGCAATGCATGGAATTACCAAAATTAGAGAGGGAATAAAGAGGTGATAACCTAACATATGAAACAGGAAAAGACCCCTGTGTATTCTGTTTATTTAACATAGTAACTGTATTCCGTTACAGTTACCGCTTAAATACAGTTTAAATATTTAAGCAGTAAATGTAACGGAATACAGTTACTCATATTTTGTATTTTAAATACGCAACGCCAGTACATGTATTCCATTACTCCCCAACACTGACCATACAAAATTTGATTTTTTGCCATTTTTCAAATGGTCTTAAACCTTTGATCGGGACTGTACATGTAGTTAGTGGGGTTATATTAATTGGTGGTTCTGCATCTTTGTGTTAAGAATAAGACAGACTGACAACCTGTCTAGGACAATTCCTGCCTCTTGCCCTATAGCAGTTGGCTCATGACCCTGAACTGGGAGAAAATATATGGATAAACCACTAAATGACCATAGTCACAACCACTAAATGCTAACTGCCTTGTCAGTCATGGGTCATTTGTAATGTAAGTGTGAGGCTTCATAGACAGATCCACTCCTTTATTGTTTTCAAAACATAATGACACTGCAGAAATACCAAGTTCTAAACTTTAGAACAACAGTTTACAAAATAATAGGTGACAATTATTGTCATTTGCCATCTATGGGGAATAAATGAAAAAAGTAGCATGAGCAGAATGAATCGCATTTTTAATATAAAATAAACAAGACTCTACTGACAATATTGCACGGACCTTTAGGTTAATATACTTTAATAATTTGTTATTAAAGAAGAATGAGACAGTTACACCAATTTAGGTGCTGCCCTATATGATTATCAGGGCACAAATTAATAAAGTAACCCAAAGAAAGTGGGGGGGGGG